ATGCTAAGTGAAATAAGTCAGTCAGAGAAAGACAAATACCATATGATTTCACTCATATGTGGAATTTAAGAAACAAGGCAGATGAACATAACGCAAGGGAAGGAAAAATAAAACAAGATGAAAATTGAGAGGGAGGCAAACCATAAGAGATGCTCAACTTTAGAAAACAAACTGAGGGTTGCTGGAGGGGAGATGGGTGGGGGAGATGGGGTAATTGGGTGATGGGTATTAAGGAGGGCGTGTGATGTAATGAGCACTGGGTGTTATATCCAACTGATGAATCACTAAATTCTACCTCTGAAACTAATTTTTAAAATGTGCTTTCTGGGCGCCTGGGTGGCTCAGTTGGTTAAGCGACTGCCTTCAGCTCAGGTCATGATCCTGGAGTCCCTGGATCGAGTCCCGCATCGGGCTCCCTGCTCGGCAGGGAGTCTGCTTCTCCCTCTCCCACTCCCCATTTGTGTTCCCTCTCTCGCTGTGTCTTTCTCTGTCAAATAAATAAATAAAATCTTTAAAAAAAATAAAAAAAATAAAATGTGCTTTCTATTGGGAATCAGGAGTGATTCAACATCAAAATTGAGAAAACTTAGATGATTGCTGCAATAGATTAATAAAATGTACAAAATAAAATTCAACATCCATTAATGATTTTTAAAAACTCTTAAACTGGATTAAAAACTCTTATTAAAGTTTTCTTAATCTGATAAAGGGCATCTTCATATTTAATGATTAAAAAGTTAAGGGCCTTCATGGAAGGGAGAACAGCATATACACAGCTGCTCAGGGAGTTAAACAGGACAATCATCCACACCAGTCCATCTCTGATAGTTAACCCAATCACCCCGAACACTATTTACTCTTGTTATAGCCACACTTCTTGGGGTCCCAACTAGATTATCACTATGGTGCAGGTGGCCTTTGTTGACCATATATCAGGAAGTCAAAGGAGACCTTGTAATGGCCAATGTAGCAGGCAGAAATAATAAAAGCTAACCTCCTCTAGGCACAAGGAAGTTTTCCCTCACATTTTTCATGCATGTACTAGATTTTGGAAAATGGAAGGCTAGCCATCAGTGCAGAGGATCTGACTTTTCTGGAGAGTTAAGAAAGAAGAATTTGAATGGGAAGGCAGTAATTTGTGGTTATACTCTTCAGGGAATCGGAAGTGACTAAGATATTCTATTATCAAAATGACCTATGAGCAATGGGTGTCTTAGAAAAAAATTCCCCCAAAACAAATGCTGAAGAAGGAGTGTAAGTAGTTGGGGAGCTTGGGTGGCTCCGTCTGTTAAGCATCTGCCTTCAGCTCATGATCACAGGGTCCTGGGATCGAGCCCCACATCGGGCTCCCTGCTCAGCAGGGAGTCTGTTTCTTCCTCTGCCCCTCTGCCACTCATGCTTCCTATCTCACTTTCCCTTTCCCTCTCTCAAATAAAAATAAATAAAATCTTAAAGAAAAAAGGAGTACGAGTAGTTTACTTGGAAGGTGACCCCAGAAAACACTAGTAGGGTGGGAAATAAGACAGGGACAGGGAATAAGCCAGTATATGTCACTGCTCTGGGCAACAGGGGCTCAATTCCACTATACAACTTGCCAGAGTGTTGTCCTACTTGAGGTGCAAGGAAGGGAGAGGCAAAGGATCCAGGGTATTCACACCTGTTGTTGGCTGAGGGGCAGCATTAGCTCCCTGGCACTTCCAGTTTTGGGGCATGCTTGAGCCAAAAGAAAGTTGTCATGGGGAGAATCACCAGTGACTGCAGTGGGAAGGATATGGGCAGGAAGGGCACTGGTACCTTCTGCTACCAGGGCACTGTGGAGTCCATGTTATACTGTTTCATGTAACAGATCTGCAGCTGTCCTCCTGGACAGATGTGAGTAGGTGGACAAATCTGAACAAGCATCTGCACAAAATAATGGGCTTCCTCCACTCTGTCCTTAGTCACATTGGGCAAACTGAGGCAACTTAGTAACTCATCTACCTCTTCTTAAAACTTCCTCACCTCCCAAAGGTAGGGCCAGTCATGCCTCCCTGCTGTCAGAGCACTTGCACACATTTTCTGCCATATCTCATATCGTTGGTATCTGTCCCATTTCCTGCATGTCCACAACAGGTGCCAATTGGCTTCCATCATCTTTCACCTGCAGGACTGAGCTGCTACTTCTTGGCTGACCAGTGAAAACTACAAAAGCAGTATAATTAATCTATGCATTCCTTCAACAAATATTTATTGGGCATTGTCTTGCTTTGGGTTTCCCCAAAGGCAGTCTGAGACAAGAGCTTAGATCTAAGTAGTTTATTTGGGAAAGGGGGCCAAGGAAGAAGGAAAAGCCAACCCAAGGGGCTGGGCATGAATGAGCTGGTTACCACTGTGAGCAACTGAGGCTCAATCCAACTCCTATGAAGCACGGAAGGCTGAAGCATTCAACCCCAATTAGTTAAGGGTTAACTTCCCTGAACTTCCAGATTGTGCCTGCTCCCAAGGCTGCCAGAGAAAGTTCTAAGGTAAGCTCTAAAGAGGACAACAAAGAACTACTTGAGGTGGCAGCATTCATGGGAACTCTCCACCACCACTGGAGAGTTGAAGTCAGAAGTGGACTGAGGGAATAAGGTAACAATAGTGTCTGCTCCATGTACCTACCACATACCAGGCAGAGTGCTAGGTGCTGGCCATGCAACAACTATCAGGACAAACCACTTCCTCACTTCCATGGAATTTACTTTTCAATGTGGTATAAAGAACATACCAATACACAAATCAGCAAATAAATAATGATGGGCTTGAAAAGTACTATGAAGTAAATAAAGAAAAGGGGGGGGGAAAGAACCACTCTAGATAAAATGGTTTGATGAGATGACATTTGAGTTGAGTCTTAAAGGATGAGAAGAATCTATGTCTCAGTCCATTGGGACTGCTATAACAAAAATAACATAAATTGGGTGGTTTATAAATAGCAAACATGTATTTCCCACAGTTCTGGGGGCTTGGAAAGCTAAGATCAAGGCACTGGCAGATTCAGTTTCTAAGGGCTGTCTTCCTCAGAGTGCTGCCTTCTCACTGTAACTGCACATGACAGACGGGGCAAGGGATCTCTCTGGGGTCTCTTTTATAAGGGCACTAATCACATTCATCTCCCAAAGGCCCTAATACTATCACCTTCAGGGTTATATGAACATATGAATTTGGGGGGTACACATTCAAACTATAGCGGTTTGCTAAGCAAAGACCTGGGGGAAGAGCTTTCCAAGCAGTGAATGGCATATACAAAAGCTCATGTCAGTAAAATTGACAAATTCTAGAGACTCTAGGAATGAAATATGGTGAAGGTGATTTTATGAGTGAGGTGGACAAAGCAAGGCCATCACAGTTCCATGAACAGAATTTTCAAAATATTAGAACAAATGTAAATTGAAACTGTATGTGAGATAGAATTTTTCTTTTTTTTTTTTTAAAGATTTTATTTATTTATTTGAGAGAGAGAGAATGAGAGAGAGAGAACACATGAGAGGGGATAGGGTCAGAGGACAAAGCAGACTCCCTGCCGAGCAGGGAGCCCGACGCGGGACTCGATCCAGGGACTCCAGGATCATGACCTGAGCCGAAGGCAGTCGCTTAACCAACTGAGCCACCCAGGCACCCGAGATAGAATTTTTCAAACAGTGGATTGACAAAGATCCAAAGGTTTGTAACGATTCCACTGGGGAAATGTGGGGAAACCCACACTCCTATACGTTACTGTGGGTGTGTCAGTTAGTAAATGTCTAAGGAGCAATTTAGCCATATGTATCTAATATTTAAAAGAAAAGGGGGAGAGGGGACATATTCTTTACCATAGCAATTCTAAGAATTTTTCCTATAGGTATAACCACACATGCACACAAAAATAGTCCTCTAGGATCCTGTAGCATTATTCATGATAGCAAGCATCGGGAACAAGGGACCATATGAGCTAACTGAGGTATAAACAACCAAGTCTCAGCGGTTTGACCTGGTGAAGGAGGGCAGCGCCCAACCAGGGGCTTACGGTGATGACATGCCCCGTGCCCAGTCCTGGTCTACGTATGTTGCCCCTACATCCTGTCTAGTTAGCATAGACTCACTCTCGAAAGTGCCACCATCTTGACCACAGACTTAGGAACACCGTGTGCTTCAGGAACCCACTAATGGTCCTCCCACAGTCTCCCCATCACTGGCCCCACACCACCTCGAGATGAGATGGGTTTCCAAACCAGCCCCAGAAGAGGCACGCGCACAGCTCATTGGCCAGACGCTGTTACATGGGCAGCCGAACCGCAAGAGAAGCTGGGAAGGCAGCTCCTGGGCTGGGCAGAGCAAAATGGGACTGACTAAGCGGACATCTGGGCAGACCCTACCACCATGATCCTTAAGTAAACTGGGAGCCTACGTGGATGATTAACCCAAGTCAGGAGCTGACGACCCACCTTGGCAGCACCTAGGAAGAGTTAGGAAAATGGGGGTCAAGAACAAGAGAGATTCATCGCACTGCCTATTGTGTTGTAGTTGCATTTTCTGTCACGTATTACCTTCAAAAAAGAAGGGGGGGGGCTTTAGGTATGGAGGGACCCAAGGAAAATTCAAAACTTCCTCAGGCTGGTCAAGGTCAAGGTTGTGAGGTTATGGTGTAACTCCTCGGCCAGCACCGCAGCCTGCCCTGCCGCGCAGAGGAACCCCTACAAGCTGCGACAGGAGCCGAATCCGGCCGGCGAGGGCTGCACTGGGGCGCTGGAAGCCAGACAGGTAAAGACCCAGGTCAAAGCCGACACTAGCCGAAACTAGCCTGAAGGGAACGAGAACTACCCAACCAGAAAACACGGCCGCGCCTGCGCAGCAGAGCCCGCTACGCCCCGTCCGTACGCCGCGCCTGCGCGCTGGGCCCCAAACGCCCAGCTCCGCCCGGCCTGTGACACGACGTGCACGTGGGCGGGGCTCAGGCTCGCGGGATCTGCCGGCTCGTGGCCTGTGGGCGGAGGCCCTGGTAACGCCGGCCCCGGAGCGAGAGCAGGGAAGCTTCCTCGGTCGCCCGCGTGCTCTCGGGAAACGGAACCTCCCTCCGTGGTAGGGCAGAGGGGACCCTGCAGGGTAAGGGCGGGCCTGAGGCGCGTGTGGGGCTGGCGGGGTCCGCCGGGCCCAGGTAGCTGCACGTGGGCAGCCCGGCGTGCGGCGCGCTGGAGTAGGGGTCCGAGTGGAGGAGGGTCGGGGCCTGGGGGGTCCAGACGCACACACCTGTCAGCTCCTGGGTCTCTAGCAGTGGCTCCTGCAGGCGGACTCTCGGTTATTCGCACGCGGGTCTTCCCTCTTGCTGCCTTCTTGTCCTGGCTCCATTAGTCTTCCCAGAACTCTGGACTCCGCTGACCTGTGAGGGGAACAATCCGTGTTCTAGAAACTGGGTGGGCCAGACAGCAAGGGTCTCTACCCCCAGGAATCCTGGAGCTTCCTGCATTCATTCATTCAGCATTTGCTGACCCGCTTCCCAGGGCTGTGCCAGGTGCAGGAGATCCAATAGGGGAAGGACTGGCAAGGCCCCTTCCCTCCTGGGCCTCACAGCCCAGTTGGGAAGCCCAAGTAACAGGCAAGATAGTGCCATTCTGACAGTACTGCAGATGTGAGGACAATAAATTCTGACATTGCTGTGGTGACCAGAAGAAGAGCTCAAGGTGGTTCTGCCTGAGCTGAGGCATGAGCCAGCAGTGCTCCAGGCTACCAGAGAGAGAGAGACCCTGAGGTGGATAGAGCTGGACACCAGGCTCGACTCCCTTCAGTGGAAAGCCTTGAAGAGGCAGGAGAGTAAAAGAGAAGGGACAGATGGGCAGGGGGCCATGGAAGGAAGGGTGGTGGTTATCTTAAGTTCAGCTAGGAGCCATAGAATGGTTTTAAGGGTTGGAGGAAAGCCTGAATTGTTTTTGTAGATTATGATGAGCAAAGTCCTCCATATCCCAGGCGTCATCCAAAAGAATCATTCACCCAGAAGTGCCTGGGTAGCTCCAGTTGTCCCTCCACACACGTGTATTCCAGGATCATGCATACCAGGCCATACATTCTTCAGGATCCTGTGGAGGTCCTAGCCCATAGCCTCCCCCACCCCACCCCCCCGCACCCCCAGTGAGGGAATCTGAAACTCTAGGAGGGAGGTTCCTTGGGGATAGGTGGATAGCAACTGTGATTACAAGGGCTTTCTGACCCACTGTGCAGGAGCCGTGATGGATGGGGGATTAGGTTTTGTCTGGGGAAGGTTCTGTTGGGGGGGGGAGCATAGTAGTATAAACCCAGAAATTGTTTTCTGTACCCCCCATTCCTTCCCTCGTAAGCATCAGTTGGCTAATATGTGTGTCTGTCTCCCTTGTGGAACCTAATATGAAAACCAGAGAGGTGGACAACCATGTAAAGAGATCTTGGAAGAGCTTCCCCGCCCACTGTGTCTTGTGAAAAGGAAACAACTGGTGGTGTTAACAGGGCTGACTCATGTATGTATACTTTTTTTCAGAGAAGGAGAGAAAAGTCAATTTAAACCTCTAGGAGAATAAGTGGTGGTTTGTTAATGTCGTTTAATTTTGGATAGGTTTTTAGCATATGTGGCAGTCATTGCACACATGGCTCTTTTGTGTACTTTAACTGAAAACCTTGAAGAAACTGGCTAACAGATTGTGTGGCCACTGATCCAAATCAGATAAAGCTTGTATCTCCCAAGAGCTCACCTGCCTTCCCCAGCTCCTAGAAAGCTAGCTGAGGGATGGGGCAGGCACCTGCCTCCGGCATCACTACTCCATACCCAAATTCTCCCTGACCCCGACCTCCACCTGACACAGGGCAGCCCCCAACAGGAGCCAGACGGGAGCAAGGTTTGCTGAGCCAAACCTCTCTTGGCCTTTGTGCACCTTACATCCTGCCCCACCCTACTCCCAACCTACTCCTTATTCCGCACCTGGCTTACCTTCCTTATAGCCTTGTTCTAGATTCTCTCTCTCTCCTTTAAAGGACAAAATTAAAGCTGAGTTGTTTTCTTGAGCGGACCTCTAGGAAGGACCTGATTGACACATTTACACTATGGTGTTAGTGGTGCTCATGGAAACGTGATTTGCTCCTCTGGAAGTTGTCTCATAGTACTTAGTATTACTGAACACCTTAACCCAATGGAGTGAAACTGGCTTTTAGGTTTGAGCCTTTAGGACATGGAGGTGCCTATGGGCCAGGCTCTTCCTGGCTCTGTCCTCCCTTAAATGTTATTTTCGGTTTGGACTCTGTTTATGTCATGCTGAGCCTGTTGGTGTGTAACTGTGACAATTATATGCATGTAATTTTATGTGAGTATTTTTTGGTTGTCTAGAGTCTTAACATTAATAGGGAAAGTGAAATGATGGAGCACATTTAATTTGGAGACAGAAGCCAGAAAGTCTTGTCTGTGCCTTGCTACATGCCAGCTGTGTGATTCCAGACAAGTCTGTTTCCAAATATTCCCTGGGCCTTGGCGCTGTTATATGTAAATAAGTTGTTGTCTGTTGTGTGGTATAAGTGCTGGCCTTGTGGGTCTCTGTTAACAGGATGTAGCATATGTAAAGGGTATTTTTTTAGTGGGTAGACAAATTTAACAAAGAGCAACCTTTGCCTCAAAATTTGCTATACTACCTGTTAATCTGATCATGTAGGTCATGGTTCTTAGAGTAACATAGGACATGATAAAAGTTGATTATGTAAAAGGGTCTTATACCTGTGCTGCCCTGGCCCACTGGTCGAGAGGGACAGGAGAGCAAGCAAAAAAAAAAAGAAAAAAGGAGGGATCTTAGGGGCGCCTGGGTGGCTCAGTCGTTAAGCATCTGCCTTCGGCTCAGGTCATGATCCCAGGGTCCTGGGATCGAGCCCCGCATCAGGCTCCCT